TTAATTAACATTTTCACCTGCTTTTGGAGAAGCATGGTGCAAGTTTCATGATAAATTTCCAGCCCACCCACCGCAAGTAATCATTGAACCTATGCTTTTATAATTGGTTTTCTCAGAGAGAGCTGCATCGATAATGATTAACGAAAATGTTTATTTTTAATGTATCAAATTATAATACATTTATATTTCATATTTATTCACGCCTGATATCATTTTCTTTAAAAGAAAAAGGTGTCAATAAATATTTTCCTTATTTAAATTATAATGATTCGTAATTTTCTCTACGTTAACATATAAAATAAGTCGTGGGTATTTAATACCGAAATGGAAGAGCATCAATAAGATTGACAATTGTAGTTTTTTTTTTACGTAAAACTCAATGTATTAAGTTCAGTAAGGACATTGAAAACTTTTAAAGTTCAGTCAACAAAATAAGAGATATGGTAAAGTTCAGTGATGAAATTTGTATTTTACCCTTGTTTTTTTAATAAATTTTTGTTTTTAATTTATAAATGACTAGTGTCAAAATTAAATATGTCAAGTGATAGTAGTATCTCATAAAAAAATTATTAAGACTTAATAATCAAAATTAATCATTTGTTTTAATTTATTTAACTTTTTAGTTTGAGAATTTAATTGATTGTAATATACATTTGTATCGTGACGGATAAAAAAGAAGTGGAAAAAAAAGGACCCAATAAAAGGATAAATGGTCCGAAACGCAATGATAAAGCAAAACAAATGAGATTAAATGGCTTTTTACCATTCATGAAACGGCAAATATGATAGATTCATAGAATAGGGTTCTTTTTATAAATTCTACATATATCCTTCATATTTTGTTTTATTCTTATTAAATTTGCAAATCACATGGAATTTATTCTTTGGACCATACAAAATGGAACTGTCCATATAATACCCAACAGAATGTAAAGAACATTCCTCCCTTTTTTTTAGTTTATTTTCAAAGTTATAGGGCCCAAATCATATAGTTTATGGGTCCAAATGGATAGGTTCATTTGGACAATATATTAGGCCTATTTGTCCTTTTTCATGGAAAGAAATACGATTATCATTAGGGATGTAAACGGGGCAAAGCGAGGGTATATATTCATTCCCTCATCTCAGTATCTAATTAATATTTTCATATTCATCATCTACGATAATTAAAATTTTCAAATCCACATATGCATACGCGGGTATATTTTCAAATTTATCTTCAGGCTTACTATCTAACTAGACACCCACCACTCATTTCGTATTCGTCTGTACTCGCCTATGCTCACTAATTTGATTTAGGAGAAAAGAAAGTCTTCAATTCTAAAAATAGGTTAAATTACAAGTCATGTCCTATAAAATCTTAAGATTTACATAATAATATATAAAATTATACTTAAATTCATAATTGTCCAAAATTTACATGGTGGATAGTTAGTGGGCGGGCGGACGTAGGATGGGTAAGGTCTCAAACCCACTACCTACTTACTATCCACGGCGAGTATAACTTTTTACATCTACACCCGCCCACTACCTACTAAATTTATATCCTTACCAGCCCTAATCGAAACAAGTATGGTGCAAAATCTATGAAATTGTACTCGTCTGCCATCTCTAATTATCATACACATTCTCTTACTATGTATTAAAGAATCTATGCTTATTCAAGAATATAAAAAGATAAACTTGTAGCCCCCAAACTTTTGAATGTTTTAGTTTCATCTCCAAACATTTGAATGACTTTGGGGGTGTTATTGGAACAATTAAAAGTTTGGGTAACATATATAACGAGGTCATAGTTTGGATATGAATTTGAAACATTCAAAAGTTGGGGATGTAACACTTAGATCCGAATAAAACAAAACCCGAAGGGTTTAGGCATCACACGGGACCACCAGAGTGGCTAACCATTTTTTTCTCATTAAAACATTTCATTTTCCAAATAAAGTTTATCACATTAGACAAAATAAGTTAATGGCAGTTAAGTTTACAAACCGGTAGCTCCCACAAATAGTTATCAAATACAGTAATCCAAGTGTTATGACTCAAAGGGTCTATGATAATACATGCCCACTACAATATCCGAAGTCTGGCGATATGCCTGCACCTACTAACCTATGAACGTAAACAATTCCGAGCGCTGAACTATGAGCTCAGTGCCACATAAATAGCTCCACTATACTACATGCATCCATTAATTATGAATACTTAACAAGTTAAGTCATGTTGCAACATAGTGCAATAAACATAGATCATAACATAATGATACATGTCATAATATCATAAGAATAATAATATAATTACCATTATATAACGAAAGTGCCTTAGCACTAATACTAAAGTGTCGCAGCACTGATACAAAAGTGCATTCGCACTGATACTTGTAATACCCAAAATTCCAGCTAGTGACCAAAATATAAATTTCTAAAGTCTAGTTACTAAAGTATAAACTTGGGAAAAATTTAGGGACCAAAGTGTAATTTTAAAAAGTTATGTAACTTGGTCCCATAAATGAATAGTTCACACCCAATGATGATGTTTATGTGGGAATCATATTTTTCGTACGGTTTTTTTATTAAAAGCTATAAAGCGATAAAGTTCGAGAAAATTTCGAATAATTATATCGAATCGAATTTTTTAGATATTTTGAAGGATGATAAGGTAAGGTAAAAAATGTCATTTCCATATCTTAATTTGGAAGGATTAAATGTCGATTATTGGATTTGAGATAAATTTTCCATGTTGAATATGAACCGTCAAATTTAAGTGACTAGATTGTAATTTTTGGAAATTACAAGGGAAAACATGAAAAATCAAGATCTTGATATTCTTGTTATGGATATGATGATGTAAAGGGTCATGTCATGGAGTAGCATTGATGAAATTATCAAGTTTCATTAATGGCAAAATGGTAAATTAATTATAAATGAATTTTAAATTCATTTAATTATTATAAAGCCATGTGTATCATGATAATTATGAGAGAAATTGTTAGATTTTTCAGCTTTCTTCAAGCTTTGGTCGTAACCTTCATTGTAGGTAAGAGATAGTTTTTCAATTTGATTTTAAAGCTTTCTTCAAGCTTTGGCACGAACGATGGTAGAGAGTCGAGCGTTGATGGCGTGACGTTGGAGGCCTCGACGACTTCGAGCAGGGACGAGCAACAATAGTTTCGTGGGTATTTGGGTATGTCTAACGGAGATGAGAAATAGGAAAAGGGGATTGTAGGAACAGATGGAAATGGGAAAGGGTTTCACACGATTAAAATTATAAAATATTACGACGTTTGTAGACACAAATGCCACCATTTATCATTTTATAGCGACTTTTTCTAAAAAATGCCACTAAAGTACAAGTTTGTCGCGACGTTTGTTTAAAAATGCCACTATATATGAAATCTATTGCGGCGTTTTCTAAAAAACGCCATTAAGGTACAAGTTTGTAGCGACGTTTGTTCAAAAATGCCATTATATATGAAACCTATTGTGGTGTTTGTGTAAAAACACCACTAAAGTACCAATTTGTTGCAACGATTGTTTAAAAACGCCACGATATATGTACCCTATTACGACGTTTGTCTAAAAATGCCACTAAATAACTATTTTTTGGCGGCGTTTGTTTAAAAACACCATTAAAGTACTTATCTGTAGCGGCGTTTGTCAAATAAACGCCACTAAAGTACAAGTTTTAGCGGGGTTTGTAAAAAAATGCCACTAAATCATAACATTAATGGCATTTTTCAACAAACGTCGTGATATGTACAAATTTAGTGGTGTTTGCTTTGAAAACGCAGCTACAAACGCCTCTATAATCTTGTTTTGTTGTAGTGGAGTCACTAGTTCAACCATCCACCAACCGTAATACAATATCCATTTTTTTCTTTTTATCTGTCGGTTGCAATGTGCGAATATATTTTTGAGTTAAAAAATATATTTCTCTAAAATATGTTTGTTTTGTCAAAATAAAAATCGTCATAGTTCATTTTAGATTAGATACAACCGAGAAATTATAAAATCATCTTTTTAAAAAATATTTTATAAAAACTCTTTTTAAAGAGCTACTTTTTAATAGCTGTTTAAAATTGAAATAAAATCGAGTTCTTAAGTCAATTACACTTGGAGTAAGTTAATTTCAACCCAAAATACTTAAAACTAGTATCTTTTAAAGTCTCAATTTTGTAAAATTACAAATATAAATTTAATGTGTCATTACTAATAAAAATAAGATAGAAAATAAGAATAGAAATATATACCCAATAGCATAGCAGCCCAAATGCAACTAGAGAGATCCAAATATAGCTATAGAGGCTGGGTTTTTTTTCATTAGAGTATTCGGGTTTTTTTATTTAGCCTATTAGGGTATCTGGGTTTTTATGGAGCTACGATATTTTCTACAGTATTGATGGAACTCGTAACGTCGAGGTGACGAGTTTCAATAAAATATATTTTTTATTAAAATTTATTACATTGAGGTAAAAAGTTTATATAAAAAACATTTTTTTTATTAAAACTCATTACCTCGACGTGACGAGTTCCATACACCGTAGAAAATACAGTAAATCTCAAAATAAAAGTGTTTGTGCCCTATTTTACAATTTTTTTGGGCTGGCCTATTGGGCCATAAAAACCTACAGAGGCTCAAATCTCTTGTTGGCATGCTACGGTGGCTCAAATCAAAGCTTCGATGACATTACTTTTTTCTAATAGTTAATACAGAAAATTGAAGTAGAAAATTACCAAATGGATAAATATTTGTAAATACTTAACGTTTAACATAAAATTTAAATGTTAAATTTTGGGATTTAATGTAGAACAATAAAGTATACTCTTAAATGGTTATTATAAAAATTTAAATATGGTTAATTAGTTTGAATATATATATATATATATATATATATATATATATATATGAGTGAACAAAAAAAGCCACTGAGAAGGGCTGCATGTTGGTAATCCCTACGTGATTAGACTTTGAAACTAACCTTAACCTCACTATTATTCAAGTTTGTTCAGGTTTCATCAGGAAAAAGCTCATCTTTGAGTGCAGGAGCAATCCACTGTATCTGAATGTAGGTAATATCCCATAGATCGTCATCTTGCTTGCGCACTAAAATCCCGGTCTCTTGCATCTTGGTTATCATCTTTCTCAGCAACTCGGGCACCACTTCCTTCAATCTGGTCTCCCCGTATTCCCCCAAATCAGCTTTCATGCACGTATCCATCCTCCTCAAGACCCCCAACCAGAACGTCCTAAACCCTGGATTCCCAACAATCTGATGCAAATACTGTAAATAAACATCCGTCAAAAGCTCCATCGAAAGCTTCAGAGTCCCTTCCATGCTCCTCGTCTCCCTCTCCGCGTTTTCACGTCGAGAGTATTCGATCATCTTCACGTGTTGATCGTCCACCATCGCGAAAATCACGAGATTAAAGCAGTTTATACACCTTGTTGAAGATAGTTCGAGATCTTCCGCTAGTTTAAAGCCTCTACCAAGAGATAATATTGCGTGGTTCCTTATCTCTTCTCGGCGTGCTAAGCTGGTTTTCCTCAGGGCTTCGCCTAGCTTGACGAAGAGATTCATTATGAAGTTAACGGATTCTATGCTTTTCGAGTTTTCGTCACTTGACGAAGTGCTTGAAATACTGTAATTACTCGGTTGATCCCATGATGATGCTGTTGTGTACCAATGGATCAACAATTTCACCGATTCCGCCATTAGATCGAGGATCTTCAAGTTCTTGTCGAGGGGGCTGTTTTTGAGGGCTACGAAACCAAATGCACAATCGATACAGTAAGCGTAATTGATCTTTGAGATATGGAAGGCATCGGACATCAACATGATCAAAGCTTCCACTGCTTGGTCATAGGTTTCAGGTTGTCGACCGGTGACTGACAGCAAGTGAAGAACCGATTTCCATCCCAGTTGAGTCTGCAAATTTGCTGGATATTCTATGATAATCTTGCTAACCGACTGTATTATGAACTCGCAACATGTGTCGAGAATCTCTTTATCTAACTTCCACATCAAATTTATAGACTTGAAAATGAGTTCCTCCGGTGTTTTATCTGCTTGGTACGAGGCTAGGAGCTTGAGGCAGACTTTGAAAAGTCCCTTAATGGCTTTCTCTGCAAATGGGATTGGTGAAAATAGAGGGAATTGAGCAACAGCAAGCAAATAATCATGGTAAGAAGCCCAAAACGCTGGGAGCCTGTTAATGTTGGCTAAAGAAATGGCAATGATCAAATCCCAACAGAATCCGACTGTTTCTTCTTCTTCAATCGGTGTACTGAACTTTTGGCCTTTACCAGCTGCTGCAAATATCAGAGAACGCCCAAGATTCAACAATGCCTCAGGGGGTAAGTGGGAACTTTTGCCGAATATACTCCCGATTTGACATTGCTTTATAATCTTAAGATTCTGTTCGAACTCGCTCATTCCCAGAGATATAGACTCTTCCATGCTATCTAGTGATAGGAAATGAGAGAAACGAGTGACAACACCTGATGTTGTTTCGCGTTTGGCGAATTTAGGATCATGACTGGGGAATATTACACCGGACTCCGATTTCGAACCGTCGAGGGCGTCCGACGACGAAGAGGAAGTGATGTCGAATTCGATGACCGATTGAGGAAGTAGCCTAAGCCTTTTGAGTTTCAACAAGCAGTCCACGATGTTCCTCCAGCCGCCTTTAAGCGACTTTCCGAAGTGGTTTGCTATGGTGAACACTGCAAGTGTAGCCATTCTTGGTTTCATATCGTTACTGAATGCAAACAAGGTCTCCTCTGCAGATGCATAAGGGTTCATGAGCGTCGTGAATTTGCAGAACAAGGCGACGAGCTCATCGAGCGTGTCGGCCAATCCGTACTGAGCTATCCTAGCCAAAGAGATGAGACCTTCGATGCATTCATGGAGCATTTCATCTTCGTCAGCATGTTCGAAGAATGCCGAAAGGGCCGCAATCGTCGGTCCAGCAACGCTAGCGAACATATCTCTTCCCAGCCGACGATCGAAATCGCAAAGGATATAGGTTTGCGTTAGTTTGGTTCGGTTCATCAACTCAATCCATCTGCTAGGGTTCATCTCGACGGGACCAGCCTGACCAAAAAGCGTGATTGCATTGTTGGAAATAGAGTGAAAAAGCTCGGAGAGGTACTCTCTAGGGAGATCTTGGCCTCCATTGATTGCTCTATTGTTCCTTATAAACTCTTCCTCAGTCATCTTCTTCTTCACTTGCGGGTTATGTTGATCCGTATTCAACATAATGAGAGAATAACAAAGTATGAACACCGAATCCTTAGCCACAAAAATCTCGGATGATTGTTGATCGAAAAATCTCTCGGAGAAAGCTTCGAGGATACGTTGAATCTTCTGGGATTCTCCTGGCAGCCTGAAAGTTTCAAGATAAGTTCTAAGAGCAGAATCAAGAATCATGCAATTGAATTCAAAAGTTACTGTGAATTCCTTAAGAACTTGAAGGTTAAATTCGTCTGGATCCCCAAGATAATCTCCGATCATGCTTTTGTCCAGTAGAGGAGTGTAGCGGAAGAAGCAAGCATAAGCTTTGGGATTCGGGGGATCACTGATCAATTTACAATGTTTCAAATACTCCAATCCTTTCTTCTCATCTCGATTAAAATGGCTACCGGCGATCAAAATCTTCCTCTTTTGGGCTTTCCTTATTCGTATATACTCCACCCAAGTTTCCAAATCATCTTTTGGTTGTTCCACCCAGAAGGGTCTATATTCCGTAATTTCAACTGGGTATGGATCTGAAGGGGTTAAATCATCGTCTTTGTCAATGTTTGTAGAAGTGGTTTGAATCATTATAATCAGTCCTTCGAAAGCTTGAACTTGCAACGTCGTCGTCGGACCACTCCCCGGAAACGCCTGCTTGCAAAGCAATTTCCCGACGTCCTCGAAGATGTTCCGACAAATGGGGTCGCAGTCGTAGTTTACGTAAGCTTCGATTACAAACGTCGGTTGCCTGAAAAAATTTACAATTGCTTCCAATGCCACCTCCTGGAGTTGCAAAGATCCTCCTGGAACTGCAATTCTCAACAACACGAACGAGAAGAATGCCTCTAGTTGAAGGCGTATGAACCTGCAAAAAAAGAAGGGAAAAAACAAACCATTAATTTGATTCCAGTTGCATTTTGCTGAGGATAACCGGGGAAAAAAAAGAGAAAAAAATATTGAAACCTGCGAAGAAAGTGATAGATATTCAAGACGGTACTGCAAATCATGGAAAGAACGAGTGGGCTTGAACAAGTTCCGTAATGGATCAAATGGTGAAATAAATCATCCTGGACCATCCTCAGAAGCTTTGGGTGCCTTCCGATTTCGTCACCGCTCAATTCTATAGCACAATTAATCAGAACCAATGCAAAAAGTTGTACGTCTTCATCGGCTGTATGGCAAGCCGCTCCTTCGGAACTCTCCACAACTTCGACCACATTCAACAATGAACATAAGAACTGAAAGATATCAACGGCGCAACGTATTCCATATCCCGAATTCTCGTCGACATCATCGGTATCGGATTCTGAACTCTCCCCTTCGGTAACATCGACGTTGGGCAATCGAGAATAGATGATCTGAATCAACTCATGCATCGTATACCTCGCCGTGCGTTGAAGCAAATCTCCTCTGGCTACAGATTGTTGAACCACCTGGAAACAAGTGTTGACGATTGTGCAAACGGCCTGGTCCGTGAGCAGAACCGAAGCTCTGTGTCGCATCGTCGCGGTTAAAACCTGTAAAATCTTCATCATCACAGCGTCCTCCGAAACAGGGTCCGTTTGTTCAAGGCGGCAGCTGGTGATCCCCGTGACGACGATGTTTATAGCATCTTTGGCCCCTGGGGTTTTCTCGTCGAAGATTTCAAGTTTAAGAACCTTCAAAACAGCCTGAAGAGCGACACCCGTGGCAGCTGCCGGAATGCCATCGCTTTGAATAACGTCGAGGAAAGGGGAGAGATAAATGCAGGGATCGACGGTGCGCCATTCTTGATGGGGGTTGAAGATGAAACCCCTTAAAGATTTCAGGGATTGTTGGAGTGAAGAGTCGAAATAGTCTTCTTGGGGTGAAATGAATTGACCCGTGGGATCCATCGGCCGCCGTATCACGGCAAGGACAGCCCCCACCTCGGTGTTCAACATGCAAGAGAGTCCCAGCTCTTTCCTCTTCGATTTTGCCATGTCTTTCTTCTTATCGCCTGATGGGCGGCTACTATGTTGTCCTTCCATACAAAAAAAACAAAATTCAAGAATCAAATTTTCGTATCATGCATGCAATGACCGTCTTATTGTTGTTGTTTTACATTTGAGTCTAAGGATCAAGTGTTTTTTCCTGTGATTAATTAGTGATAAAAGAGATTAATTAACGTTAATCTTACACGGATGCGAAGAGATATACTATTTCCTCCAAAAAAATTGGAAGAAAGGTAGGCGGATTGTTTGTAAACTAGAGGTTAATTAAATGCATTGTTAATTAACAGTATTAAGTAAAATTATATGGTTAAGGGTGAATATTTGAAGACTTCTACCACTAATATCTCCCTAATTTGTTCAGTTTTATTGACTCCCAAAATTATAATGTATATTTATAGATAGGACCTAATAAGTTTAGATAACATTCATTCCCGCACTACACAATTGATGATATCTTAGATGAATTAATGGAAGAAGTAGATTAATTATTTTTCTTAAGGATTATTTTATAATTAGTTTTTGATATAATAATACTATGATTGGAAGAATACATTAAAACATTATTAGTAAACATGATAAATTTTAAAAATAGTTTCTTCCTACAACTTATTAATTTGTTTAATATTATAAATTTAAGAAAGAAAATGGATATATTTTATAAGAATAATAATCATTTAAAAAATTATTTAGAGAATGTGTTAAGATAACCGTTTCTTATCAAGATGTGTCTTTAGTCTTTAGTATTTATTTTACTTGGTGCAACCTTTAGAGTGTTCAAAAGTCAGATTTCTTCATATAATTTGTTTTTTAACTTTTTATTTTGTAATCTTTAAATTATAAATATCATATTAATCAAAATATATGGTTACCTCTCTTATTTGTCACGTGTGACTTTATCTCTTCGTATCTAAAACCAAAACCTTTTAAAAATCTCTCTAATTTATTATCACTAAGGAAGGCAAGAGAGGCTAGTGGGCCATGCCCTAAATTTTTAAAAATTATAGTATAGACTCTTAAATTTTCAAAAAATTTAATTTGCCCCCTTAAAGTTTTTGAAATTTAGATTAAACTTTAAATTTTTTAATGTTTTTTATTAAACCCCTTCCCATAATTTTTAAAAATTCTCATTAAGTCTCAAAATTTTAAAAATTTTAGTTAGATTCTAATTTTTTTTGGAAGTAAACTAAACAGTTCAAAATTAAAAAAAATAATTAAACATCTGAATTTTTAAAAATTTTAAATTAGCTCTTATAAACTTTATCAACAAGTTCCTCCATTACCACTACGCCCAACTACTAAAAGTAAATTAAGTAATTCAAAAGGTAAATAAAGTGCATCATCATCAAGAGTAGACAAATATTATTATGAAAATCAAAGCAGAATGTCACAAACAAGATTAAATTATTATTAAACCATTTCCGGTTCTAAACAATTAGTGCCAGGGAGAATCGTGAATGGGAGAAACGACGGACTTGATCTGGAGATACTGATGAAGTCCATCCAGACCAAAATCCTTGCCAAAGCCGCTCATCTTGTACCCACCATAAGAGCAATCCAGATCAAATCTGGTGTAACAATTTATCCATATAGTACCCGCTCGGATCGATCTCGATACCGTGTTAGCCACGTTCAAGTTATTGGTTATCACCCCTGCTGCCAATCCATACGTTGTGTCGTTTGCCCTCTTTATTGCTTCCTCCATTGTTCTGCAAAATTATTATATTAACAACAAAGTATATGCATGGAGGAGGAGAAGAAGAAGAAACAAGAGAGATATTCACTTGAATTTCATCAATGACATCACGGGACCAAAGATTTCTTCTTTCGCTATGGTCATGTCTTCCTGCATGCATGGCATTTTGGGAAAATTATTAAAGCAAATTAGGTTCGAAAAGAATCATATGTTTTGTTAAGGGTTCACCTTAACATCGCTAAATATGGTAGGCTCAACGTAGAATCCCTTGTTGCCGATTTGCTTCCCCCCTGTTAACAACATAGCTCCGTCTCGTTTTCCGTGCTCGATGTACGACAGAATTTTCTGGAATTGCTTCTTACCAGTCTATGCCCAAACATTGCATTAACTAAAAGGACCTACATACATATATACTTATATAGTTATATGACTTGTAATTAATCTTACTTGGGGTCCTTGATTAACTCGAGGGTCAAAAGGGTCCCCAACGATCCATGAATTTGCTTTCTCTACCAGTTTCTTCTCAACTTTTTCATAAATTCCTTCTTGAACATAAACACGAGAGCCCGCCACACAAACTTCTCCCTGCAAATTAGGAAGATGGGGGCATCTCTAAAGTTGTTCGATTGTCAAACTTAACCCGAAGGTGACAGATCGACGATGAAAGCGAAAGGCCAGCTTACTTTGTTGTAAAACAAGCCATAGAAAGCAATATCTACAGCCTCGTCGATGTCGGCATCTTCAAATATTATTAGAGGCGATTTGCCTCCCAATTCCAGTGACACAGGTTTCAGATTGCTTGCTGCTGCTGCTGTCATTATCTTACGTCCAACTTCAGTAGAACCTGTAAAACTCAACTGAAAAACACACACACACACATATATTTCTTCGTCCATGTGAATTAATCCTCTCATGATCTTATATATGAAATTAAATTCGCGCCTTATCAACGTCCATATGAGAGCTAATGGCAGATCCAGCAGTTTCTCCAAATCCGTTTATAACATTCAGCACTCTGTCTGGGATGCCAGCCTGAGATCAACAAGGCCATGTTAAAAGAGTAGCCGTTTTAATCATTTCAAAAATTTTATCGTAGCTTATAATTTACCAGGCTGGCGAGATGAGCATAATAAAGGGCGGAAAGCGGAGTCTGCTTGGCAGGCTTGATTACCACCGTGCAGCCGGCGGCTAATGCCGGGGCAGCTTTCGTGAAGAACATGAGAGTGGGGAAATTCCAGGGAATTATACTTCCCACTACCCCTATGGGTTCCCTCAGAGTGTAGCCTTGAAGTCCCTTTGACAATTTTAAGACTGTTCCATGAATTTTATCGGCTGCACCTGCATAGTAACGAAGAATCTTCGCTGCAGCTGGGATGTCTATGACCTTGCAATGACTGAATAGCTTGCCCCCATTAATGGTATCCAGTGCAGCTAATTCTTCTATATTTTCTTCAATTAGATCTGCAAACTTCATCATTATACTTCCACGCTCCTGATATCCAATTTCAAGGGAGGAATTCAAAACAAGACTATGACAAGTAATGAAGTAGCAACTAGCAAGCAAATGGAATTATCTTGGCCTATGAATTTGTATATGCATGCATGTATTTTGAATCTTTCAATGCTTATTACAGTTAATCTTCCTAAATCGGGGAATCCGTACTGGATTTGGAGGGTCAAAATAGGCTTAAATTAAATCATTGACAATTGTCAGGGACTAAAATTGCTATTGCTATTTAGCCACCTGCCTGCCCCTGCTTCCTATATTAACAACCATACACGAAATTGCATGTCACAAGTAAATTTTGCAGCTATAATTAAACGAATTTTTATATGTAAAAGAATAAATGCGCGACAAAAAAATAATAAATAATTTAGAAAATTCGTCATTAGGTATAACATTTTTTCCAACCTTCCGAATAATTAAAATAAAATAAAATCAACACTGAATCCAAATAATTAACTCAGAAAATATCATATAAAGATCTGAAAACAAAGCTCAAAGATTTTAATCACCAACAACCCCAACTACAGATTATATTAATGTATTTATTATTATGCGAGGACATTAAAATATAGTAAAAGTTATCATTAAATTATTAATTTTCTCAATCATAGATATTTAAAATATTTTTAAATTTTAAATCTAGAATTAAATATTTTATTATAAAAGTAAATAACATACCTAAAGCAAGAGGAGAATATTTGATCAAAACTCTTACACAACTTAGACCTCTAAAATTGAAATGAAATATGCGTTCCACCCACTTTCAAACAAAATGTACCCCCCCCCCCCCAAAAAAAAGACAAAGTTGAGGTTGTCCATAAGTTACCTAGAGTTTTAAAGAATTTATAACAACGTTCGAGGAATTGTATTTGACCTAAATTTTTGTCTGAAATGTAAAAAAAAATTTAATAAAAAAAATTACGTTTGAAATGTAATTATTGACTCAAATTAAAAATAGAAAAAAATATTTTTGTGATGAAAAAATTCGTTAAAAAAACTCGTTTGAAGAAACATTCTCAAACGAAGCCAATGTAATATTCGTTAAAATCGTCTTCATAACAATTTTAATAAAATTATAATATTTTATGTTTTTCATAATAATCGGCTCAATTTATAAATTTGTTTCATATATGATTTTTTATGTACAAAGTAAATCTAAAATTAGTATTAGAATGTTGAATCGTAATAAATTTGTAAATGACTCGTCCCCCTCTATAAGCTGTTTGGTATGGAGTAGTTGCTTATTTAGCACAGGTGAGGTGATAGGCTGATGGGAGTGAGTCTTACTGGTAGAGAAAGATTGATGTTATTTTAGTGAATGAATATAAATTCGATTATATGAATGTATAAACTTGAGTGCCGTTTGATCAGACCAAAAATAAATTTTAACAAAATAAAACAAAATATTCCAATTGAAATATCACATACCATAAAAAAATTAAAGTTGGTGTTGTCATGTCATGTCATTATTGGAGAAAAGTAAAAAAAAAACCTATCATGTCAGTATTCTGTTCATCATTATCAGGTGATTTAAATGGAACAAAAACGTAACTTTCTATATAGTTTTGAGAAAAAAATAGTCGAGTGACTAAAATATAACCATGAGAATAGTACGGTGATTAAACACGTAGTTTACCCTATTAGTTATATAATTGTTAAGTCTGTTGTTTTCCCGCGCCGATTCTGTAAAACACACACACACAAAGGAAGCGGTTGAAAACACCTTGACTACCGGCGTAACTGTTGGACCATTGTTATTTTTCTATTCAAAAGAAACGAATAGAGACACCGACCTCATGGGCTCACGGCGAGTAACCACTAACTACAGAGGCTAGTGAAATCGTGGAGGGATTTTCGCATATCGACAGATAATATATTTTTAACCTGTTCTTGTTGGATGAGAAAATGATTTGGTTTTGAATCGAATGATCAACGCGTGACCAAAGGGTTTAGAAGAAGAGAAAGTAATTTAGTAAAACTTACAGAGCCGGACATACGAGGCCAAGGGCCGTGGTCGAAAGCTTGACGAGCCGCCTTCACAGCCAAATCAACGTCCTCTTTATCTCCTTCCGAAACTCTTGCTATCGCCTCCCCGCTTCTCGGATCAACTACCTCGAACGTTTTCCCTGTTGCAAGCAAATCGTTCAAAGTCGATGTTTAAGCCCAATAAAAACGAGAAATGCCTAAAACAAAGCAAGTAGATCCAGTTATTTTCTCGAGGGAAACAAAAGGTACCTGAAACGGCATCGACGAACTTGCCGTCGATAAAAAGCTTGGAGAACTTTATTGGCGGAATCTGAAGGAAAGATTCAGTGTCGTTGGGACTTCCGTTGGCCATTTCTAAGATTCAGAGAAACGGAACAAGCCCTTTTTATGTGTTGCTCTGCCGATGCGCTAAGCTCGCTCTTCCTTTATATTGTTACTATATTTCAGTATAATAATATCTATGAAGATGATACTGATATAATATCTTATGCAATATCATATTTTAAATGATTATACAGACAGGGGATGCCACAGTACATGGTGTATTATTTTGTCTTTTCCTGAGGAAATAGGGGGTCATGGAGTATTTTGTCTGCTCGGCCTATTTACATAAATATTTCAAAAAACTTAAATGTTGTACATTTTCAAAATGGTATCTTTTGATTAAGACATCACGTTAAATGTATTTTCAGACTTTTTTTAAAATTAAAACACTATACGATATGTAGTCAATTAAAATCTTTAACGATTAAATTAAGATAAACAAATAAATATGAATTTTATTTTAAAAAAATTCGTATAGTATGTAGAAGACACGAGCATAAACTTAATATTAAAAAATTAATATCTAATTTAAAATTTTATGTTTAAACACTTGAAAAACTAATATCTGATTTAAAATTTTATGTCTAAACACTTGAAAAAAAAATACATATATAAATAATGTAATATTTAAGAGTATATGGTAAACTTTTTATGAGGTGTCAAAAGAAAATTAATATATACACGTTATTAATAATTAAAAATCTCAAAAAAAATATTATCTTATAACTGTTCAGATTATTAAAAGAAAGGTAAGATATGCATTTAGTACATAAACTACTAATTTTAGTCTGTTTTACTATATAAACTTTTAATATTTTAAGACTATACCTAAATGTTTAATTTTCATTTCATTTTAATATCCCACCGTTAAAAACTTAAGGCTTGTAGTACCTAAATTATCTGTTTTAGTATGTCTTAATACCTAAACTTTCAAAAAAAAATTAAAACTTAACGTTAAATTTTGAACGAATGTTTAAAATGAAACAAAAATTAAAGTTTTTAACAATGAAATACTAAAATAAAAACTAAACTTTAGTAATGATTTTAAATGAATTAAAAGTTTAGACCAAAATTAATAATTTAAAACAGATACTACTTAGTTTAATAATAATAATAATAATAATAAACCATACACGCAGCCTCATCACATTCACAACCACTATTTAACCTTATTCATGTTCATATCAACACGTGTCTATATAAAACCTAAACCCTAAACCAACATAGAAAAACTGACATTATTATTTAAAAAACCAGTCAATTCGTAGGCCGATAAGTAAAAGTAGCAAATGAAATCACTTATTAACCTCAAAATATAATGAAAATGCGTCGAACAATGGAAGATAGGGTAAGCTATAAATAATATTTAGTACTTAAATTATTAATTTAAATATTTAAATTTTTAATTTTTTTAAAATCATACTTAACATTTAATTTTTATTATATTTTAACATCTTGCCGTTAAAAACTTAATATATTTAATACCTATACTATCCATTTTAATCCGTTTTAATACCTAAACTTTAAAAAAAATCAAAAGTTATCGTTAAATTTTGAACATAAGTACTAAAATAAAACAAAAAATAAACTTTAAGTATGATTTTAAAAAAAATTAAAAGTTCAGATAATAAAACGTACCAAAACTTATAGTTTAGGTACTAAAAGCGTAATTTACCCAAGAAAATAAACCAACAAGTTTTAGTATTCATCAGAATATTACAAATTTGAAATAGATGGAAAAGAAGTTCTTCCATAATCATTGTAATACAGTAGTATGTTTCAACCGTGGAAGTTTTTGTCAGGCTGAACGGCATATATAAAAAGTCACTGATGCTAAAGTAACGATTAACAAATTTTAACATCCTCAGGGGTTGGCTTCACAACATTGGCACAAAGCCTTGCCAATTGCATTCTCTCAAGGAAAATATCGAGACAAGGCTCTGCCCAGTACAAAGGGCGACTTCCCTTTGACTGCCATGCAAAACTACAACCATCTCTTTCCAAAACTCCCAAACACTTACGGTAATGGCAGCCGACTAGCGAGCAAACATCTATCGAAACGATGGCATTCAAAAATTACTAAAAGATGAGTGGAAAATCAAGCACAGATGGGAGGGAAATGTTGTTTCAAAGCATCAAGTATTAGCAGGAGGAAAGGGGAAATGAAATGGAATCCTTACAAGGCTTATCAAGTTGTCATCAATTTCAAGGGATCAGAAGATAAGGATTTGATTAGCAAATAGGACTAGACCATAATATTTTACCTGCCTTCAGATTGGTAACTGCAGTCTGCTTCTTCCAGATACCATAATTCAGGACACTGTCCTCCCATAGCAAATGGAGGAAATATACAGATTTTTTGACCATTTATCCTAGAAAACAGATGAAAGCAAGAATCATTAGCTTTTAGGGATCATAAGAAAATGTATCGTATAAAAATGGTTCTACCAGCAGGCAATCTTTTGGCTCGATGATTCGGGGCTAAAACTAGATTTACATTTATGGTTGAGATTGATGGACCACAACTTTCTTTATTCAAAATGTAAATAAATGGTATTGCCAAGTGAGGTTCACCAGGTTTCATGGTAAGAAATATAATATAAGACAATCACTGACAGACCATTACAACACTTAGTGATACAGATAATGTCATACACCTCTAAGGAAGAAAAATCATGCAAAAATACATTACCTTTACATTGATACTAGGAAAAGCAGATGTACGCAAAGTTTCTTGCATTATATCTTGTGATTTTCTCTTGGACGCACTAAGTATGAATGCCGCTTGGTCCTCTGTAGCAGCTGCTGATGTAATCCGATATCCTTTTTCCCATCTTCTGTGAATCCCCTCACTCGGATAAAGGAAATCAAGTTCAACAACCTAGCCAGCAAGTACAAAAAGATGTAAGTGATTGCTGCAGTATCATATAATCGAGTATTATTCAAGCTGGAATTAGGCAACCTGAGTAGGATAGCCAGCATTTCTGGACATGACAATACCCCATTTGCTTCCGGCAGTGGTCATTGAGGTCACAGAGAAACCTTCTTTCCACTTCTTATTGATCCATTTGAAAGGAAATATATCGCTAACTTTGTAGGACTGTTGCGTGTAAGGTGTACCTTTAGTAAGGCGAAAAAAAATATTAGCATTACCAGCATTGAACTTCAAAACAGCAATTTCCAGTAAGTTGACAGTATATATACTAAACTCCTATTAAGCAACCCACCGTTTCTGGATGATTTATCTGGTGAACATATATTTAGTTGAAAAAAATGATAAGGTAAACATGAGATTACCCTTTGACATTACAACCAGTGCACTGCCATTGCTAGCACCGGCAACTGAAGTAATGTAGTAATTCTTCTCCCACTGTTCCATTATCCACTCCTGATCACATAATCAGTAAGGAATAAATTCCTGAGACAACAGTAATTAGAATAATGAAATTAAAAAGCTGAGTGCTAACCTAAGAAAAAGACGAGAGCTTAGTTAGGTCTTACCTTATGCAAAAAGATAGGAGATAACTCATAAACCTGAGATGTGAAACCTGTCCCTGCATCCATAACAACGGCCCACAGATTTAATGATGAAGCTACGCAGCTAATATACAAGCCGCCTTCTTTTCCCTTCTCCACATGCTGCAGGAGTCTTGAATCCATAACATTGTAGTGATACCTGCAAATTGTATTGCCAGTCTTGATTAAAAAAACGGAAGGGGAATGAAATACCAAAAGTTGCAGTAGATACCAAATTCTGAAAAGAAGCAGCCATGGTTGGATTCATGACTTTACTTCCCTTTTCCTTTATCGTTTTTTTAAATGGAGGGGTTAGATGGGATTCAGTTCTAGAGTCCTTTGATGCCAAGAAATTTCACTACTTCAGGTAGTGGGAACCTCTAGCATCGGTATCATGTTCTCACTTTGCCCTCATTGAAAGTGATCAAGTATTACATTTCCACAAGGCCATTGTCCCATTCAAGTTTTCAGTGAAGCATATGAAGCAGCCAAAACAAATACGCACTTGTAGACACATAGTCGAATACAATCTTAAACAATATGCAAAATTGTTGGTTTTGAACAGAACTTTCACCTCTGTTTCATCGGATTTCTGGAACTATATATTGTGATCCACTGACACGCAGGAGACCCTAATCGGACTTTCTTCTTAAGCTGCACACCATCTTCCAACTCAGCAAGTTCTCTTCCCCTTTTTTGACCCATCTGATGCATTGAGATTCATCAAAAAAATATTTTAAGTTAAAAAAATCCAAACTTTTTTGGTTTAAGTGTGTATTGACACAAGCCAAAATCCCAGGTAACCACCTTAATGGCTCCATCAATTTGGATAGGACGTATTGATGAATTGAAATCTATGCTATTATGAAAAAGGGAAACGAGCTTTGAGTAATTCGGCTCTTCATCAAATTTCATATTTGTCACAATCTCAAAAAACTGTTGAAAAGGAGGAGGGCACAAGTAACAAAGCATCTCAGGAGAAGTTGCCACCTTCTTCTTACTAACAAGAAATCCTTTGTTCTCGCCCTGCAGTCCCATAATACAACAAAGCATGAGACATCAACAACAAAAGACAGCAATATGAAGTTCTAATTGCTAATGCAAGGTGTAACAGTTGAAATAAACTTACAATGTAACCCTGCCAAGGAAGTTTTCCCCTAAGTAGAAATATTAGAGTATAAGCCAATGACTCAAGGTCATCCCTCCGACTCCCTGTCCTACCCAAATGAGCATGTACACTTGCATAACGTACAGTTCCCCTAAAACAAAAGGAAGAATAATAAACTCAAAATTGCAATCTAAACAATTAAGTCGTAGGCTTCATTCCGTCTGAACTGAATAGGTATGTAAGCTGAGAAAATTAAGCTAGCTACTTAATGAAGTCTATAAACATCTATCTAATACTCCATCTCTATATAAATAGTAAATAGATAAACAAATAGGGTCAGATTTGCAAAGAAACAGAAGCAACTACCTAAACACATCAGGCTTTTGGTCATAGTCAACATGGCGTCCAGAAGCTGCCTCCTTCCACCTTGAAGCTGGAAAGGTGATGAGTCCTTAATATAA